CCCGCCAGCCAGGCCAGCCAGAACTTCATGCAAGGGCAGGTGCCCTCCACAGCTCCGGGAACAGCAGGGAACAGCGGAGCGCCGCAGCTGCAGGCTGGCCAAAACGTGCAGCACACAGGTCTGGTTGGAACGTGATGTTCCTCAGTTTTTTCTGTTTTTTTTTTTGTAGAAACACCTTTACTTGTGTAACGCAGATACCAAAACATTAAACTCTTGTCATTGATAGGGAGTCAGCCAGCTGGGGCTGCAGGGGCATTCTGTGTGTATTGCTAAACGAGGAGAAGAAAAGCAGGAGGCTGCTCATATTTTTCAAACAACCCAACTATTATGGATTAGGGCTGTGGTACTAGGATCCAGAAGTATTTGTTAAGAAATTGCATGGAGGTAGCACTGAAATTTGGAGGCTAGGGATAATAAAGATACCACACGAGGAACTTCTTGTCCAGGGACAAAAATAAAGAAAAAAAAAAGTGTTATTATCTTAGAAGCAGAACAACAGAATAATCTTGTTCTGCTTTGAAAAGATTATTTATTAGTTCCTTTGAAAGTCTACTTACAGTCAGTCCTGTAAAAATTAAATCTTCAGTTCACAGATATCTGCATTTAACAGTTTGCTTATTGGTCTTTTGTCTGAATTATGGATACCCTGATAATGTCATTTCATCAGTACTCCATGTGTGTTTGTTTTTTAACTCGTTATAAAACAGCCTCAAGGTTTGAAGGTTTTTTTGATTAGGAATCATTCTGAGTTAGGTGATATTGTGGAAGATTTTTGAACTTACACATGGATAACAACTGAAATTAATTTTACTGTCATGTCTTCTGCAGTGAGGTACATGGGAAGTACCAGCCGAAGTGTTTATTTTGGGAAGTATGATGTTCTGGTTTGACAACAAATGGGTATCTGTAGCATCAAACATTGCATCACAGCACTGCAAATATGTCAGATATTCCAGCTCACTGGAAAAGGGAGGAAAACAAAAACAATTTAGCAGTACTAATTCAGCATCAAAAGTTGTGAAAACTCTTATACTGCTCCAGTCGGACTCTTACTGGCAATTGTTGTTTTTTTTTAAGGTGGCCAAGGATCTGGACCTCCTCAAAATCAGATGCAAGCACCACATGGCCCACCAAATATGATGCAGACCAATCTAATGGGACTTCATGGAAATATGAACAACCAGCAGACCGGTGCTAGTGGGGTGCCACAAGTTAACATGGGCAACATGCAGGGACAGCCTCAGCAAGGACCACAGTCGCAGCTTATGGGAATGCATCAGCAAATGGTATCCTCTCAAGGACAGATGGTAAACATTCAGGCTCAGGGATCACTGAACCCTCAAAACCAGATGATGCTGTCTCGAACTCAGCTCATGCCACAAGGCCAAATGATGGTGACACCACAAAACCAAAATCTTGGTCCTTCTCCCCAAAGGATGACCCCGCCCAAACAGATGATTCCCCAGCAGGGACAACAGATGATGTCTACACACAATCAGATGATGGGACCTCAGGGCCAGGTCTTGTTGCAGCAAAACTCAATGATGGAACAGATGATGACCACTCAGATGCAAGGAAATAAACAGCCTTTTAATACTCAAAACCAGTCCAATGTTATGACGGGGCCAGCTCAACTGATGAGAGGACCAACCCCAAACATGCAAGGAAACATGGTGCAGTTCACTGGGCAGATGATGGCGCAGCAAGGCCCTGTGAATGGTAATCCTTCTCAGGTTATGGGAATTCAAGGGCAAGTTTTAAGACCCACTGGACCTGGTCCTCACATATCTCAGCAACTTGGGGATACTACTACTACAACAAATAATGATGTCAACTTGACCCAGATGTTACCTGATGTTCCCGTGCAGCAGCCAAACATGGTGCCTTCTCATATGCAACCAATGCAAGGAAACAACAATGCTTCAGGGAGCCATTTCTCTGGCCATGGGCTGCCTTTCAATGCGGGGTTTAGTGGAACGCCAAACGGGAATCAGATTTCCTGTGGGCAGAATCCTGTTTTTCCTGTCAATAAAGATGTTACGCTCACCAGCCCGCTCTTGGTTAACCTTCTACAAAGCGATATATCAGCAGGACACTTTGGTGTGAACAACAAACAAAATAATCAGAATGCCAACAAGCCGAAGAAGAAGAAGCCTCCAAGGAAGAAGAAAAATAATCAGCAACTAGAACAAACAACGTAGGTTTAATATTACATTGATTTTATAAGGGGCATGGGGAAGCTCCACAGGCAACTTGTCAATATTTTCTCAGCAAGCATGGGGACTTGTATTATTTCATATTGTAGCAATTTCTCTCAAGAGTTAAGTGATAACCCACTGCCAAGTCTGTCACTGGAAAGTTCCTTCAAGATTAAAAACAAACCATGCAAACATCCCGGCTCGGTTATAAACCCAATTGTCACAGCACCATTCCTTACATTTACTGGGTAAAGGAAGTGTAGAACGTGGCACATGGTGCCACAGCCCTTGGAGTAGGGGGCTGCCTTTTTTAAGCAGTCAGCCAGCCACGAGCAAAGGCTGGGAGGTACTTCCAGAAGAATTAGAAGCCTCCATATAACATGTGCAGTAGAGACTTTCAGGGGGTTGCTTCCTGAATTATATGTATATCCTGACATGTTTCTGCCTGGAATCGAGCTGGGCTTCTCTCTTGGTTGAAGCTCCAGCTAGAATTTAGAGGGAGGAACTGGTACTTTCTGGGAGTGAGGATAACAAGCCCAAGCAGTGCTGGTCTTCCTGGCCCAGGAGAGATTAGGAAGGAAAAAAAAAACCCACAACGCTTAAGAGGGAAGAGGCAAATGGATAATATTGAGAGATAATGAATGAATGTACCTGTTTAGTGGAAATATGAGATTGCTGAGTCTCTTCGTTCCTCTTTGGCCAGCGTGTTCTTCATTGGCCAACTGTCCTGTGACCTTTTGCTGTTGGCAGTCTGCTGGTGACAGCACAGGCTGGTGGTCTGCTGCTGCTGTACCCTTGCTCAGCTCAAACAGTAGAGGCAGGTGCACCGTGTCTAATTATTCTGGTGCTGCAGATGAGCCACAGGGGCATTGACAGGAATGCACCTGGTGGAGCTTCTGGGGATTGTTTCCAGTTTGCTTTAGAAAAAAATGGAAAAACTTTGCACAGAAAATTATGACACAAGAATGTCCACATTTCGAAAGTCAAATTCTTAAAAACAAACAGACAAAAAGGTGGCACTGGCACATTAAGCTACTGTGTGGCCCTGGTTCCACCAGACCCACTCCTTTTGAATAATCCTTTTAAGTCTTTAACCTGAAGTTTGTGCTGCCTTTTCCAGAGGCACATGTCCAGTTCAGTGCAAAGAGTGGGTGGCACTCAAGTACTAAGCGACTGTTCAATATTTTATTTTTTCCCTTGGTTACTCAGTGCCTAGTCCCAACCTGTATTTTCTACACAAGGTCAAGATTCCTTCGTGAAGATGGAATTAATTTTCTCGTGGACATTTTAGCTCTGGACTGAAACAACTCGCGTCATCTATAGCAAACACTCTTTTGTGACAATCGTTACTTGGCTTGACAAGTCCCAAAATAAAATGCAGGAGCTGTTACGTGCATTTTACAGGTGCAGAAATGCTGCGTAGCAAAGGTGAAGCAAAGCATGCAGATTTGATAGGCCTTGGAAAAAGTCTTTCAGATACCTGCTACGTCATCACGTATGGCCATGGTATGGCGGTGGCGTGCCGAGCTTCCTGGCTTTGCTGCTCTGTGGCTCCATGGAAGGGAGGTGTACGAGGGCATGTGGGTGTCTTCGTTTTGCCATTCCAGGAATTTTAAGTGCGAGTAATTTGGCCAGAGTGGGTTGTATCAGTGGATTGCACAAGGCAGCGTTGTGTGGTCCGGTCGTGAAGACTAGCAGTAGTGTGACGGGAGAGCGTGCATCTTTGTGCTGTAGATCCTGCAGAGAGTCTCCAAATAAATAGCAAGCAGATACTTTCCTGTTCACCTGACACTCAGAGCTATCCAGATGTCTTTCAGACAATACCAGTGTCCCGTTTTTCTTTCTGTCGAAACCGTTCCTGTTGCATAGCTGCTGCCCAGCAGCAATTTGGGTAGTACCGGTAGGCACTGCTGGTAATTTGCAGCAAAAATACCCAAATCTTGTGTCACTATTGGTCATTGGCGTCTTTCATGGAAAGTTTTCCCGTTTTGCCCCAAATCAAAGGCAAAAATGGCTGTGTGTTTCTAGGTAGGAAAGGCCTGGTGCTATGTTTAAAAAAATAAAATGCTTCAATTCTAAATAGATCCCAATAAAATAATAGTAACCATTATGATAGCGAGCTGTCTTGCCGTGGAAATGACAAAGGATTCCGAGGGAGCAGGCGAGTTGGCACTCTCTTCTGAGAAGAAAATCCATTAATCCTTAAAGCAAAGCCTTGTTAGGATTTTGTTTTCATGGGTCTTCCTGATGATCATCCAGCTTCAGCGTGGCCTGGGAATATCAATAAACGGGTGTATAAATCCCTCCTCGGATCTTACGAAGCCTCACAAGACTATTTGCTTGTTTAAAAGTTTTCACAATAAATAAACCTCAATTGCAGCTTTTCGACTGAGCTATGACAACTTAAAAGAATTCCCAGCATTTCAGTAAGGCTTTTAATCAGATTTCGGTGTGCTTAGCAAAGGAAATCCCGCCTCGTACTTGCTCTGCCACTTAAATTTTCAGTGAAGGTTCTCTTGCCATCGCTGCCTGCAGGATGCTCTCTTGGCACCTGATATGAATTAGCATTTTGTTTCTTGGTGGAGTAGATGTGTTAATCACTTTATCCTTGCAGGAGCGTTAAGAAGGGAGGTATCCTTAGAAAAGTTTGAGGTTCTTCTCCAGCAAAAGGAGGGTGACTGCAGTGAAAGCTGGCTGTAATACCGTCCTGCCTCGTTCGCTCTCAGCTTCCCCAGCATCGTTAGGCAAGCTCAGCGTTTTCCTGTCTTGGAGTTGCTGATTCTTTTAGATCTGATTTGGATCACTTTCTTTTGTGTCAGAAGCAAATAGGATGCTTTTCGTCTCAGCTTCTTCTCTGTCGTTCTTCCTCAAAAATTTAAAAATTCCTCTGAATTGGAGCACCAGTTGGTGCTCTGAGTTAAAGCACCTCTCTGGTCCAGCAGACCTTGTGTGGAAATACAGATAATTTGATAAACATGCTAAAAATGATTCTGTTTTTTATTCTTAGAAATAATTTCTGAGCTGTAATAATATAGCAACAAAAGTACCATTAGTAATATGGTTTGTAGACCGAGCTATACTGGAATGTAAATAGGATAAGTGAGCTATTGAAAGAGTTTATTCAGCTGAGTCTAAAATAGCTTTAAGGTTTTGCTTAATTGGACTCATACTTAATTCCAACTCAGCTTTGGAATGAAAACCAAGACATTTTGGAAAAACAGGTTGTTAGAAAGAAGTGATTGCAGCTGTCTTCTGATCCTGAAGAGTGTAGGTAATGGGATGTAAACTGAGGGGAATGTGATTGTAGATGAAACGTGTTAATTCTATGAAATACCTGCACAGACAAACAGGTGTTTAGTGTTCCCCTGTGCACAGACCATAAACGTGCCGTGTACTGGTAGAGCAGGAACGATACCCACTCCGTGAAGTCGCTGCTGACGTTCAGATTGGCAGTGTCCCGCGTGAAGGGTGATGTGCAGGTGGTGAACAGCACTGCGGGACGAAGACGTTTTTCTCAGCCACGTTCTGAGAGCTTTTAACTGTAGATCTGGAGGTGACAGTCCCCTGTCCCCAAGGGAGATGGAACTCCGTTGGAAAGGACGAGTACCTTTCTGAAAAGCAAAAGTTGCAGAGCATCATACTGTGTTGGCAGGGCTGGTTCTGCGTGCATCTGGACTAAACATTTATTTTCAGCATCCGCAGCCCTTTTTGGTGTTGTTTTTTGGGTGTGGTGGTTTTTTGTCTGGAATTCTCTCTCCACTCTGATAAGGGCTTTTGTATCTGAAGGTTGTGCTGGAGAATGCAGCTGGTGGAGCAAAGGGTTCGCTTACGACAATCCACACTGCTCCTCATGTGCAGCTGGGTTTGGTTTTGGGTTTTTTTTGACATCCAGAGCAATATGAAAGAAGAACAAATATGGAATACTTGTCCCTCTCCCACAGACTTTTCATCTTGCTTGTTTATATTCAGAATTTGGGTTTTCTTGGTGCGTGGAGGTTGCTAATATGCCCAGTGAATTTCAGCTACATTCAAAATTCAAGTTACGTTTAGATTTTGCAGCAATTACAGTAGCAACCTTTCCTACAATAACTGCTCCTCTTTGCCAGCAAACAAAACTCACATCTCTTTTGTTTGTGCACCTTGCCCGATTAGATCCATCTGGCAGGAAATGTTTTCTACAAATCAGTTTTGCACCACGATTGTTTTCTGGGTGAAACCTGTTTGTGCAGGGACGCTCTGCATCGGCTTTTTGTCTAATCTTTAACTGCAGCATTTTTCATCTCCCACCATTATAAAGAAATCACAAATGACAAAATTACAGATTTAAAATTATATTCACAATTTTAGGCAGTTATTCCAGTTCATGTTGCTGGCACCTACATCAAAGGCTGCAGCTCCTCTGGGTGATTTTGCTGCCAGAATTTTTGTTCATTTGTGGCTGCTGATGTGACGCCTCTGGGGCGTGTGTGTGCGTTTTGCCAGTTTTCATCACATTTATTGGTGGAGGCCTGCAAGCCTGCAACAACTGCATCACAAAAATTAGTGGTGTGCTGCATTAGACAAAAGGTTTCATTCCAGATACTTTCCTTGGCAATACTTGCCCGCTCAGCACCAGTGCTTGGAATGGGTCTGTTTGCCCCAGTTCTTGCCTTTCTTCTCTTGGTTTATGTTCTTCCTGGTGTTGATCCGCGAATGTTTAAGGACTTTTAGGTCACACGCTGCTTTTTGAACATCGGTTAAGGAGTTAATAGGACATTAGGAAAGGCCTGAGTCTCTCCATGCCAGCTGTAGAGATGCCAGAAACTGTTACTCTCAATTAAAATTGAATAAGATGGCTCTCTCTGCCTTTATATACTTCACATTCTTATTTTGCTGAAAATTTCTTTTGTCCTTGGCATTTCTGCGTGATTCTGCCACACTCTATTGGCAGTGTGTTTATTCTGATGTCTTTAATTTTAACTCAGAGCTTTTATTACGTAGATCTGCCCACAGCCTTCGTATATTCATGAAGCCGATAAGCAGTTAAGGTCTTTTACTCTTCATCCCTCTTTGTCTCACATCCTCTGACCGTATATATTGATAGCTGTAGAAACTTGCTTTTTTCTGAGTCTGCAGAAGCTGTCTTGATTCAGTGGAAGTATTGGGCATTGAATTGGAACAATTTTACATTGTCCTGGAGAGTCTCCTGGAGCATCAGGTAGCCCTGGAAAATAGCTGGGGGTATTGGTGGATGAAAATACCTGGGGGTATTGGTGGATGAAAAACTGAATGTGAGCCGGCAACGTGCGCTGGCAGCCCAGAAAGCCAACCGTGTCCTGGGCTGCATCCAAAGCAGCGTGGGCAGCAGGGCGAGGGAGGGGATTCTGCCCCTCTGCTCTGCTCTCCTGAGACCCCCCTGCAGTGCCGCGTTCAGCTCTGGGGTCCCCATCATCAGAAGGACATGGAGCTGTTGGGGCGGATCCAGAGGAGGCCACGAAGATGATCCAAGGGCTGGAGCACCTCTGCTATGGAGACAGGCTGAGAGAGTTGGGGCTGTTCAGCCTGGAGAAGAGAAGGCTCCGGGGAGACCTTCCAGCACCTTCCAGTACATAAAGGGGCTTTGGACAAGGGCGTGTAGTGACAGGACAAGGGGCAATAGATTTAAACTGAAAGAGGGGAGATTTTGATTAGATCTAAGGAAGAAATTTTTTACAGTGAGTGTGGTGAGGCACTGGACCAGGTTGTCCAGAGAAGTTGTAGATGCTCCATCCCTGGCAGTGTTCAAGGCCAGGTTGGATGAGGCTTTGAGCAACCTGGTGTAGTGAAGGGTGTCCCTGCCCATGGCAGGGGGTTTGGAACTGGATGGTCTTGAAGGTCCCTTCCAACCCAAACCATTCTGTGATTCTGTGATCACTTACAGAGCCTCAGTATCCCACAAAGGTCTGTGCCATGGTGGGTGACCTACAATGGCTGATAATGTCTGTGCATTTTTGCTGTGATGTTAACAGAGGTCTCTGATAACCCTGAGCTGGTCGCTTGTGGGTACGATACTGGAATAAATGGTGCTACCATTAAGATAAAATTCTGTGCATCTACCCATGGTACTTACCTATACAGATGTCACAGCGGTATTAGAGGGAAGCCTGTCTGGTTTATATATATGTATATATAAAATTTGGAATTTCTGTTCTCTTAGTTCTAAAGCCCAGATTCAAGGTTAGAAACAAAGGAAAGAACTGAACAGAGCACCGGGAAGCTTGTTTCCATTTTGGTACTGTTTAAGGCACAGGAGTGACTGTCAGCAGACCTGGGCTCTGGGTTCAAGTTCGGCCTGTTATACCAGAGGTAGCGGTGCGTTTTGGTGGGTTACTTGCAGGTCTGTGAAAAGTGCTAGGAATTAATTACTTGAGTACTTAGTTATGGAAGCAGAAGTCAAACACTGATGTGAGGGCTGGATCTTAATTGCAATTATCTTTCTTTCAGTTCTTCAGAACCACGTCCAGCTGGCCTGGAGGAGAGCGATCAGTCGTCGATGTCTGGAGAACAAGGAATGAATTTAGATAATTCGGGCCCTAAACTTTCAGATTTTGCAAGTAGGCCACCAGGTAGTAGGATTTTTCTGTGGATTTTCTGAATGTAATAACTATAGGATAGCTTTTAGCTGATCTCTGTGACAGTTCTGTTTTATTTGTGTTGTCACATATTCAAGTCCAAAGCTTTTTTCCCTTGTAGTAACTAATTGGTATCATTGTTTAAGGATTTTCTCTGAATTAGGTCAAAATGAAGAGGTGGCCACATTCTCATGTATCATCCTGCAGGTATCATTTTGAATACTGTAGAGTTATTCAGCAATAATGTAATTGATAAAAAATTCTGGATTTCTACTTGTAGCACAGACTGATGTCTTAAAAATCTAGCGTTAACCAATAGCTGAATTTTTCAGAATTAAGAAATAGAAGTTGCAGTTGGAATTGTCCTTTGCATGTAGGGAGGATTAAATCCAAAGTCTGCAAAGGAATTTGTTTTACAAACCACATGAATGGTTCTTAGCACCGTTTTTGGCCAAGTAATACATGGCAGATTCCACGTTGTACACTAGAAAATGTCAGATCAGTAGCAGATACGCTAGTCCATGTCCCACAGGGCCTGTCAAACTCTTCAGTTTGTCTTAAGGAGTATTAATCAGTGAAAGTCCAACTCTGCGTTTGTAAGTAAAAGCCAGCTCATGGACAGTTGCAGGGACTTTTCAGGTGGCATGAATCTGGAGCGATAGCTAGTAGCTAATATGGCACACTAAGAGATCTCCAATTAAAGGTCATGCAAGTCATTCATAACATTCAGTAAAAATGTTTCTAAGTATTAAGTAAAATCTTCGTCCTTACTTGTAAAGGCTGTCTCTTTAAGGTGCCTGTCGCATAAGGTGAACAGGCTCCTGGCTGTACTTTCTGTCTGATCCTGTTCGTTAGAGAAATTCTGCTTTCTCTGATCTTTGTTTGGTTTTAATGAACGTATTGTCTCGTTGTCGTAGGTTATCCATCTCAGCCAGTGGAACAAAGACCACTTCAACAGATGCCACCTCAACTCATGCCACATACGCAGCAGGCACAGCAGCAGCAGCAACAGCAGCAGCAGCCACAGCCACCACCACAGCAAGCCCAGGCACCACCGCAAACACCGCAGCAGCAGCAGCAGCAGCAACAGCAGATGATGATGATGCTTATGATGCAGCAGGATCCCAAATCAGTCAGGCTTCCTGTACCACAAGGAGTTCACCCACCTAGAGGTCCTCTGAATCCAGAGGCTCAACGAATGCCAATGCAGCAGAGTGGTAACATGCCAGTAATGGTTAACCTCCAAGGTCCGGGATCAGTGCCTCCGTCTCCTGATAAACAAAGAATTTCCTTGCCAGGCAATCCTCCTATGGGAAATAATGCAAGAAAAATGGTTTATCAAGATAATGTACAGAATCCTTCCAGCTCACCCCTTGGAGAGGTTTCATCAGTACCCTCCCTTCCAGAAGGAGGTGGGGCTGAAGGGCCCCCAGCATCAGGAGCTCAGAATAGTTTGACGTCTCATTTGGTAGTTTCACAGAACCAATTAATGATGACGGGACCCAAGCCTGGACAATCCCCACTTTCGACTGCCCAAGGTGCGAGTCCCCAGCAGCAGACTAATTCTCTGCCTAGTGCTCTTACACACCATTTTCCAAATGTTGCCACCCCATCACAGACTTCAAGGCCTAAAACCCCCAACAGAGCAAGCCCAAGGCCGTACTATCCTCAGACTCCTAATAACCGTCCGCCGAGCACAGAGCCGTCAGAAATTAGCTTGTCTCCAGAGAGACTCAATGCATCTATAGCTGGTCTGTTCCCTCCCCAAATTAATATTCCCTTACCTCCCAGGCCTAATCTCAATAGAGGATTTGACCAGCAGGGTCTTAATCCCACTACTTTGAAGGCCATTGGACAAGCCCCATCGAATCTCACAATTAACAATCAGTCTAGTTTTGCTGCTCCCCAGTCACACAAATTGGAAGGCGTGGTCATTAATTCAGGAAAACAAACCAACACTGGAGGAACAAAGAGAGCAAGTCCCAGCAATAGTCGAAGGTCCAGTCCTGGATCCAGTAGGAAAACTACACCAAGCCCTGGAAGACAGAATTCAAAAGCAGCTAAATTGTCATTGACAACTCAGCAGAATCCGTCTCTCTTGCAGAACATGGAATTACAAAGAAATATGATGGCTGGTCCCTCTTCTTTGCCAACACCTGTCACTACAAGTTTTCAAAATAATAACATGCTAAGTAATCAGAATCCTGCAATTTCTGTACCTCCTATGACTGGCATTGCTGAAGACAATAAAGAGATCCGTAGCGTGCCTCAAGACAACGAGTGTCAAAGTGCACAAGGTGTCCAAGGTAACAAAGACCAGCCCAGTATTGAACTAAAAGGTATCCCTGCTCCAGAAATGAAAATGCTGGTTCCAGAAGAACAGTCAAAAAAAGATGGGCAAGCCTTAGACACCAATAAGCTTCCAGTCTTGGAGGAAAGTAAAACCATGGTATCTCCTGCTATGAGGGAGGCGCCGACTTCTTTAAGTCAACTTCTTGACAATTCTGGAGCTCCTAACGTGACCATTAAGCCCCCTGGGCTGACGGGTCTTGAAATGGCCCCAATAGTCACTACTGGTGAGGAGCTAAAGAAGGTAGCTGTTATTCCTCCACTGCAGGAGTCATCCTCGAGCAAAGAGCCATCTAATTCCCTTGGCTTGCCTCAAAATAACGAGCCCTGTTCAAATCCAGGGCACCAGGAACCGGGAGAAATAAACTCAAGCGTTGCACAAAGTGCTCCTCCGGTCATGCAAAGGCCCGTCAGCTCTTCTTCTATTTCAGGTCCTTTACCCCCCAACCAGATAACAGTTTTTGTAACTTCCAACGCTATTACATCTTCTGCTAGTACGTCAGCACCGTTGCCATCTCACTTGCAACCGGCGTTAGTGTCGACGGTCGTCACGATGCCCAGCGTAGGGAGCAAGGTGGTGGTTTCCGAGGGACAGTCGGCAGGTCAGTCCAACACCCGGCCGCAGTTTATTACCCCCGTTTTTATAAACTCGTCGTCAATAATTCAGGTTATGAAGGGCTCCCAGTCAAGTACGATTCCAGCAGCCCCGATGACTTCTAACTCCAGTCTAATGCCTCAGTCAGTCGCGGTCGTTGGTCCTTTGCATATACCACAGAATATAAAGTTCTCCTCCGGGCCCACTCCTCCCAGCACGTCATCCAGCAGTCCTGTTTCTAGTATTCCCACCAGCAGGCCACTGGTTCTTAATCCCTTGCCACCTCCTGCTCAGCTGCCTTCTCCTGCTACGACTTCTTCCAATGTTCCTTCACATCTTCCTGCTCAGCAAGTCAAAGACTTCAGCTCGGAGGAGACTTCTTCTCAAAGCGGTGGGTCGAGTGACCAGTGCTCTGTTACAGCAGCGCAGTCTGGACCTGTTGTCTCACCTCTCCTTACGAGTAGTCCAGGATCTGGGAACAGACGCAGTCCTGTTTCGTCGAGTAAGGGGAAGGGAAAAGTAGACAAGATTGGCCAACTCTTGCTGACCAAAGCATGCAAGAAAGTCACTGGCTGCCTTGAGAAAGGGGAAGAGCAGTATGCTTTGGATGGAGAAGCAGAAGGTCAGGCACTAGAAACGTCGGTCCCAACTAGTTTGGGAACAGAGCAGTCAACAGCAGAAGCAGATAATAAAACTGTGACACCTCCAGCGCCCGGTCTTACCAAACAGAGCACTTCTGGGCCTGGCAGCGCGG